ACCTGGATGACTGAGAACCTTCACAGACTTCAGTCACTCCCATGCTGAAAAAACCTTCTTTAGATCCTAACAACTTTAACAACCGCCGTACAATTTCTAATTTACCCTTCATCTCTAAAATACTTGAAAAAGTAGTTGCAGTTCAACTTCATTCACACCTGGATAATAATAACATCTACGAGAGATTTCAGTCTGGTGTTCGTTCATGTCACAGTACAGAAACTGCTTTATTTAAAGTCACTAATGATCTTCTAGTCGGAGCTGACTCTGGTCTTCTCACCATTCTCGTCCTTTTGGATCTGAGCTCAGCCTTCGACACCATCTCTCATTCTGTCCTTCTAAGCAGACTTTCCTCTCTCGGCATCTCTGACACACTCCAGTCAGTTCAGGCTGTAGTCCAGTCTCTGGTCCAGTCACTCATTCATCATCCTGTTCAGCTCCCTGACCTGGTTTCAACCATAGCTCCTTCACCACTCCCAGTTTATTCAACTGAAATCATTCCGCTCTCGTCTATTCCCGGTCACTTCTGGTGTACCCCAAGGTTCAGTGTTTGGATTTAAACCAGTCTTTGATGAAGGGGGCTTCATATATGTGGACGAATATGCTGTGGCAGTTAAGCCTTGCAGTGTGCCAGAAGGAAGCACAACATCCAACTTATTTTGTGACATTTCACAGATCCATCCAACTACCCATCTACTTTGTTAACCGCTTATCCTCTTCAGTATCACAGTCTGCTGGAGACACATGAAATAACAGAGACTCACCGGCAATGAAGAATGTCACGAAATTGTCCAGCATAAATTCCTCATCTTCTTCAGTCATGATTTCCTCTGAAACAATAAGAAAATTGACATATAAATTAATATTTGGCTTCTTTCTCTTTTTTTCATTTATTACACATCAGATGTTACAATGTCTTCTGTGTTAATGTCTCTATCAGTCATCTGTTTATATTCGGCAAAGCTTCCAAAGTGTCCATTTTCAAGCGAATCACAGAGCCAGCCTTCCTGATCAGTTTATTTAGTTTGCTGGTGTCATCGGCATGATGTCGCTTCTTCAGCATCAGCACGCAGACCACAACAAAGAACACTCCACTCGCCACAACTAAAAACTCAGTGTATTTGTTTACTCTTGTGTGTACTATTCACAGCAATTTAAAATCAATGCTCAAGGCTTACTGAGTCTATTCAAATGTGAAATTTAGGGACTACAACCTTGGTTGGCAGTTTTGATGATTTGTGTCAGGATGTCTTTGGGGACCTCGTCACCGTTTTCAATGGCGGCCTTTCTCTCAGCGATCCACTGAGCTCCAGTTTTGCGCAGCAGGCGGCACGCTTCCCTCACCTCATTAATGTATCCTCTGTTCTTTGGATTAAACTGGAATGGCAGATTGAAGAAGTTAACATTCCATGCAACAAGACTTGCAGTACATACTTTCTTCTTCTTTGGCTCTCGGAGGAGGCGGACGCCTCCCCCTCTCCCTCCCTTATCTTCTCTGCTGCTGCTTCTAGGTGTTTGTCTAGTCTCGTCTAACTCTAACCCTCAAAGAGTTTCTCGGTCTTGTTCTCTAAAACCTAAAGAATTATGGATTTGATCAACTGGTCCCGTAATGGAATTGACAACCTGCTAGGCTTGGGAGAGCCCGATTGTCCTGCGGAGACGTTTGCTGCCGGATACTCCATGGTCGGTTGCGTCGTGTGTCTGGCAACACTCGACGGAGGACATTGAACGACATCTACCAATTTGGAACCACGATAACGGAGTTCGGGCTGATTGGAGCTGGCTTGGAGCTGGCTTATCGAAGAACAAGAAGCGGCTACAGCTGTTCAAAATCCCATAAGGCTGGCCGACATGATAGACGATTGGCAGGGCTGGGAGTACTCAGACTGTGTTTTGAACGCAATATGGATAACATCTTGGAGAAGAACAACGGGAATTGAGATAATTGGTGACCAGTGATGGACATTAAACCAACTGTAAAAATTGGATGCCATTGTTTGCACTAAACCCAAACATTCACCAGCTTCACTCATGTGGCTATCCCACCGGCGCCAGCTGAAGGTCTGCCAAGGTCGAAGCTGACTGGAACAACAAATTCTTCCCATGATAACAAGATTGTTGTTGGAACTCTTTGTTCTGACAACAATCACTTGGTCACCTGGGTCAACTGGAGACTGTTGACTGATGCTTAACCAGGCGTGGTGACCTTTTCTCTCAGCTGAACACGGGATACACACACATGCACACGCACGAAACATGTACGCTGATACTGATACGCCCTCACTATCACCCTCCCTCCCCCGAATCCAACGCCTCCTCCCATCCGATGTGGACACCGGATCAGCTGGAGGTGCAATCGAAGATTGCAGTGGACCCAGATCAGCTGTACACACTGGAATACTCTCCCATGTTGCTTGTCTGTGTTTTATTGTGTTATGGTGTGTTGATATCTGTGCATTCCTGGATTATCCTTTTGTGTTACACATTTCGATGTTTTTTTTCCCCTTGCTACCTAGCCTGACCTGTCTCCCCAATGTGATGTTTGTGTATTCTATGTACGGTCGGCAAGGTCTGTCATCTCGGTTGTGGGCAACTGCAACTGACAAATAAAGGCTATCTCATCTCTCATCTCGCTCATCAAAAAACACTAAAGTAATACCTCGAAAAAGTTGTCTCTAATGTAGTGAGCCATCCCTTTCAAACATGTCTCAATGGCTTTAGGGAACTGTGAAGTGTTCTTCAGCAGGTCCAAGTCCACCCCGAAAGCAACCTGAGATTTATCAAGGAAAAACACAAACATGAGGAAATATTATTTGGATAAAGACTGCTGTAAAAGCTGTAAAACTGACTGTAATATAAAACCTTAGTAATAACATCCAGGGTAACATAGTTGACAAGCTGGAGCATATTAGCTTCTGTTTTACTGTCGGCAACATCTGCAAGTTTATCCATCAGTTTCTCTGCCCTCTCATTGAAGGTTCCCATCAGACCTCTCAGATACCTGGAAGTAATGATAGCTTTAGACGGAGGAGCCAGAACCTGCCAACAAACTACCACAGAAATTCATTTGGAAAAAAATCAGTGGTTGAACAAACAAACTCTTTTGTCTTTTTGTGATAACTGTGAAACTCACAGGCTGCTGAATGCAGGGTCCATGATCCGGCGCTGTTTGTACCACTGCTCATGATCCCGTGCTGTTGCCAGGCCGTTGCCTAAGAGCCTTCAAAGAAGACAGTTGACAAAATACGTTATTTTATTCCTCTGAGTTTTAGTTACTGTTAGTTTTGCTTACTGTTGGCATTCAGGTTGCATCTAATCTAAATGTTCCTATCTGGTCCTCCTATAGTTTTAAGCTGTGCGTGCCATCTGCTGTCTTCTCTTATTATCCTGTGAGTATATATTATCTCTGTCTCCCTTTGTTCATTGCCACGTTGCCCCTCTTCCCTCATGGTTGCGTATTACCTTATTCTGTGTTTCCCAGGAAATTCCTAGTGTTTGGATTCCTCGTTCCTGCCCAGTTATTGTTTGAGATTTTATGATTATTTTTGCTAGATTTGAGTTTATGTTCTGTCTCCTGAATCCACATCCTGCCTGCCATACAGCGAATACATGACAGAACGACGCGATCCTGATGGACTCACCGAGCTTTCTCAGACTGCCTCCACAGTGAGGGAAAAAGGCTACTTAAGTATGTGATAAAGTATTAGTACGTCATTGATTCCCATCTCTGCAGTACAGTCAGTGTTGGGGAGTAAAGGAATACATGTACCGCTGTTACGTATTTAAAACATAAAATATGACTAACTGTATTCGGTTACAGTTACTGTTTATAAGGGTGGTATTTAGAATACAGTTACTTTGTTGAAATAAAGGGATTACACGGCGGTCTTTTCCTGTTTCATATGTTCGGCTCTGCCCTCTCTATTTTTGGTAATTCCACACCGGTGGAAACAAACAAAACACGCATTAAGAGGCTCAAATGCCCGTGTCTCAATCTCGCGTCTCATAATGACGTGAAGAAATATTCAAAAAATGATTTAATATGAAGGCAATAGCAGAGTGTTACAGGCATCGCCCTAAAGCATGTAGCCTGATTGGCAGTGTAGTCCGTGCTGCAGGGAGAATGGACTGCCATACCCGTTATGTGTCTGTGAGCGAGGGAGGGAGAAAAAGGTGAGTGGAAAAGTACGAGCTGTCACCGAGCAGAAACAGGAGCTGCAAGCATGTAAATATAATAACAACCACTGCAGCCAAACAGAGAGCCTGACGAGCCCAGTTGTAAGTAAGCTATTAAGACTCGACTGTACGCTGTGTTCCTGTTTTCCTCCGAAACAATAAGTTCCATTGAAGCAGCCTTTCAGCGCCTCTCTCTGTCTCTCGCTACCAAAGTTGACCCAGACAACAAAGTAAAGCTAGTTTTTGGCTACGAGCCCGACACGAACCCGACGTATTAGCCAGAGGTCCTTTACTACGGTTCAGAGCCACAGACCTGTTTTATATACGCGCGGAATAGTTTTCTATACGAGATCGCTGCAAAAAGTGCAGCCTTACCTAATGTCCACCTACTGTTACTCATTTATATTAAGATTTAAACATCTAGTTGGTGTTGGTGTGGAGAGTAGCCTTCAGTAATAGTAATAAATCACACAGCAATAGGACATTCATTAGTTGTTAAAAAGCATGATAATATATTAAGTAATCCAAAGTATATTACTTATATATTAAGCAATTACAAAATACATTTTGGGGCATGTATTCTGTAATCTGTAGTGGAATACATTTCAAAAGTAACCTTCCCAACACTGAGTACAGTGGTGGTCTGTATTATACCTGTGAGTCTTAATCTTAGTCCAGGTGTTAAACAAATAAGAGTATTGCAAAGCTCACTCCACCTCTAAATATTGGTAAATGAATGCAAAGTATCACACTGGTATCTAATATCTGCCTTTGTTGATCAATTCCAGCCAGTAACTGAAGTTAAAATGATATCAGTAACAGCACAGCCTTTTAGAACTGGTGCATCGCTACAAAAAAGCGCCTGATAAGGCAGTCTTACCTTTGACCAAACAGGTTGGCAAGTCTCTTATAAACAAGTTTATCTTTGGGGTATTTTGTGGACATCAATATTTGCTGAAGCCAGGAGCAGAAAGACAGAAAAAAAATTTTTAGAGAAAGAAGATTTGATACGAATATTATCAGGAGTTATGCTTAGTGAAACCAAAATGTCAGTAGTTCACACTTTGAGGTTAAGGGCAGGATTTGTGCCAAGCACTTTCACACACTCAGCGGCGGTCCTAGCCTGTTTGGCGCACTGGGCGAACGGATGATCTGATATCGTCGCGTTGTTGTTCCTGGAACAGCATAGTAAATGTTGTTCCAGGATCAACATTGCAAGTGACCAATCACATTCTTGTGACGTTATTCTTTGGCGCGCCAAGCCATTCGTGCATTTATGAAATTCCAATGTTCCAAGGACAATATCAATTCTGCTTAGCGTTTATTAAAGGGTTAGGGTCAGGGTCCGTTGATCGGCGGACAGAGGCGGTTTCTCGCAGCTTAAGTACAGTTTTTTGTTTTACGCCGGTTTTTCCCGAAGTCGCAAAAGTATGACATCACAACATTCTGATTGGTCACTTGCAATGTTGATCCTGGAACAACACCAACACGACGATATCAGATCGTGTCTGGGCGAACACTCCCTCTGGCGCCCCCTCTGGCGGAATTATAAAGTGGAATTGTAAATCGCTTTGAGGGTCTCAAAGAGCGCTATATGAAAGCAATCCATTATTATTTAAACCAACTGTTAACTGTATATTTCTGTACATTTAAGTATTATTATTCATAGTGCCACATTCATTGGCCTTTTTTATAGGTAATTTCATTGTTTAATCACATTAAAATGTTCCTAATTTAATGTTTAAAAGCACTTGAAAAAGGCAAAATCCCATGTAAAATCAGGGCAACAAACTGTATTGTCATTACTGAAAATAACCGTATTTTCATGAGAAAGTTATTTTCTGTTATTTTAGGGTATTATTTTGGCGCCCCAGCAAATGGGCGACATAAAACCGATCGGTGCCTATTCCCAATACGCGCTGGCATGATGTCGGGGCAGCATGAATACGAGCAATTTGTTTTTATTTTTTGCCGATGCCCGTGATGCCGCCCCCCACTGCGATGCCGCCTCGGACCCATGTCGCCCGTATCAAAAACCGCTACTGCACACACTCATGCTGTTGTCACAGTTTACCTTTGTTGCCTCGGGACAGGACACACACACTACAGCGTAATGCAGAGCATATATCTTGTAGACAGGCCCATACTCATCCGCCCTGTAAAAGACATACTACCGTATATATGATACGTTTTATCATTATTTATTAATCACTCCTACACACAACCATCGTTTACGTTCAAATTACCACTCCAGAAGTTTCTGGTGCATATTTCCGCCATTTTTCATTATCCTCAAAAGCGATGCTGAGTGTCCGAAGAGAAAACTGGGGAAGAAATCAAGTGGTCAGCGTCGAGCAGTGTCAGCAAAAGTGCCGAGAACTTTACCTACCTGTCCGTCGGTGGGCCGGGTATGTGGTCATATTTCATATGAATGTGTTTAACATACAAGCAGTATCCGAGAAACACAACGACGAGCAGAAAGAAGAGAAAAGTTAGCGTCTGAGCAGCCAAAGACAGAAGTAAGCTGAAAACTGCCATCCTGAGAAATATCCCGTAGACGTCTGCGTCAAAGATGGTTGTCCTTTCTATAACACTGCGAAGGATCCCTGGTTGAAGACCGAGGGGAGACACAAAACAAGCCTCAGTGAGGTCACAAGCTGGTTTACCCCAGTGGCGTCGTTCTAAACTCGCATTAACGGGAGATCCAGCCGCCGTGGCTGTGGAAAAACAAGGGAGCAGCTCCAAATACCGACCGCACACAGCCAGATCTAATCAGGCGGAAGTTCGATATAGCGTACTTCAAAGAAGAGAGCCCACGGAGACGCACTGAATGTCACAGCTTTCGCGCTGTTATTTTGCGAACATTGTGAACAAGTGCAAAAACCCTCTACAGTTTAAAAAGGCTACTGCTGGGATTTATTAAACAGGCGCAGTTTCGATTTTGCGACATAAAGGAGTGGGCCCGGGTATTTTTTTCGGCTTTGTATTTCATATGTGTTTGCAGAAGTTGTGCTTTCAGAGCGCAATATTTTGGGAAGAGAAAGGCGTCTAATTGAAGCTGAATTTCAGGCCAATAGAGGGCTTTGAGCTGGCGCACACACTTGGTAAATCTGCCTCTAAGCATCATCTTTAGTAAATAAAATGCATTCCACCTTAAAAGCTGTCGGCACCTGCAGGTTTATTAATTACTTAAGGTTAAGAGTTCAGAGTCCCGGAACACTCTGCTTTGTTCATATTAACATTATATTCAAGTCTTCTTCATCAAGAACACAAGAAACAAGATAAAAGCAAATAAAATGCATTCATTTCATCTTATAGTGCGAGGCGTTTATTTATCTCAGCAGATGAAGATGTCTGACATCTTCACTTTTCGTTTGACAGCCAATAAACTCATCATCCACCAGTCTTTCATCACGACTTCTGAACCTCTCCCGCTGTGAAATTTCGTACCTTACGCCGTTTATGCAAACTTTCTGGATTTGTTTCAAATTAAAAGCGCTCACCAGACAGTAAGAGCTTTTCTTAACTGGGCTCTTATTCTGAAACATTAGTAGGAACCTCTTGTGAAAAACTAAACCGTTAAGAAAAATGGCACATAGGATGTGTGCCTCTGAGATTTCACTCTCTAATAACAGTTTGTTAATTCATGTTATTACTGTATACAGTTTGTCTGGGGTAGAGAAAGGGGGCAACTCCTCAAAACAGACATTGTATTTCATTTTTATTTCATTTACACAAAAGTCATGTTTAAATGAGTGCTACAGGCAGTGGCTATGAAAAAGCAACTGCAATACATTTTGCAGTTCTCTCCATATTTTGCTTACAAGGAGCCTGATTTTCCTTTAATTATTTAAAGTGGTATTAATCATTCAAGCATACAATAGGCACCTATAACTCAAGTGATGAATCAGTGATGTGTCTGCACATAACAGACAGCTTTGAAAGTGTCTTTTATATTTAGGAAAATTGTTACTAACAGAAAAGAAGTTCCTATGTTCTAAGCAAAATAAAAGAAATTAGCTTTGCACAGTATGTGTCTGTGTATATTTATATGTGTGTGTATATGTGTGTACATACATACAGTAGCAAATGGTATTGATCCTAGCTTCCTCAAAAATGTTTCCATAATAATAATAGATTATTCCAGTGAAGACATAAAAATAGTTATAAGCATTTCATATGAATATATTGCGTGTATTACAATCATACATGAGACTATTTTCATTACAAGGATTTCTTTAAAAAATCAGTTTTCAGACAAGAGTAAAAACTCTGCCCCACCATATAGATACCCATGACCTGTTCCAATGTGAAGTCCGTTAAGATCCTTTATTTTTGTAATCCCTGTGACCCAAAGTGCACAACACTCCACTCTTTGGTCTGAGTGTGCCAGCATCCAGGATGTCAAAGGTCTGTTCTGGGACAAGAGTGAAGTCAAATCTCTGGAGCAGTTTGGCCATCACCACTTTAGCCTCCATCTAAAAAACACAACAGCGCCCACAGAGATGAGTCAGTGTGTTTATAGGTGAGCGGGTCTTCACATTATGTTGTCATCCTCACCTGAGCAAAGTTCTTTCCCAGGCACGCACGAGGACCGAGGGAAAAAGGGTAGTAGCAGTAATAAGGCCTTGTTGAACAGACAAGAGAGCCTCAGTTACTGGGAACCATTTAACTCATTTTATCTGAGATAATAATGGGTGTACAAACATTATTATGTAAAACATGTCAGCATGGTGAAACAGTGTGTTCTTTACTTGGGAGCATCTGGGTGAAATCTGTCTGGATCAAATTTCAGTGGATCCTCGAAGAATTTGTCCAGTCTCCCGCTCACATAGGAGTTGAACTAAACATTAGAAAATATTGTATTTACTTATCTTGATGTTTATACAGAAGTGTATTTCCTGCTTTGCTAGAAACACATCAAAAAATACATGTCTCACTAAAGCATTTATTCCTCCAGGTATGTGGATCCCATCATGTGTATGATTAGAAGCACACACACACACACACACACACACACACACACACACACACACACACACACGACAGAAGGTATTAAAACATATTTAAAATCTTCACAACTTACAAGAGCAACAAATCCTCCAGGTATGTGGATCCCATCAATCACCATGTCTTCAGCAATATGACGAGATGTGCCCGGAGCTGTGGGGTACATTCTCAGAGTCTCTTTTAACACCTGGGGGAAGATGTATACAATTCATACGGCACATCTTGTGTATATATATATATAACACCGTTCTACTCAACAGAGCAGTGAAAATGCTTAAAACCACAAATCTCATTAATGCAGAAGACCAAGGATACTTTAAGATACAGAAAAATAGTACCACAATTTTCAAATTGCCACATGTACCTGTGACAGGTAGACCAACTTGCCCAGGTCATCGTAGCTTATTTCATGTTTCATCCCAATAACATCGTCCACTTCTTTCTTCGCTCTGAGAAATGAGAAAACTCCATAAGAAACCAAAGTCTATTTGCTATAGTGGAAACTGTCGCGCAATATATTTTGACTTTTTACTTCTCCAGTATATCAGGATGTCTTCCAAGTTCCATGATTGCAAAAGCCAGCTGATTGGCTGTTGTTTCTTGGCCTGAAATAGCATAAATTACACACGACATTAGGCAGTACAAAAGATGTATGCAGCTATTGTAACATCATTCACTGGTCTGATTGCAAAGCTGCAAGATGAGAGTTTCCACCATCTTGATTCCAAAAAGAAAAGGATGTGATGATGAGGGGGTCAGCCCACACACCTGACATTTGACTGACAAACCAATAAATGTGTTGTTTAATACTACAGATAGGCCCCAGCCACCTTCTCCTCAAAGACAGTATGGCTAGCATACTGGTTTTTGATTCAGTGTTGACCCAGGATGAGTGCCTGAGCCTATAAACTCTGCAGGTTTTACAAAATCACATTAAAAACAGCACCACTGAAAGCCATTTATGGAAAAAGTCATTTTTCCATAGACTTCTATAGGAACAGGAGCAACCGCAGATATCGCCATTTCGTGGGCTTCAGAAAGAAAGCAGGTTTAATTCACTTCCATTTTAAAGTTCACTTTTAAGACACTGTAAATGACCACGGCAGACCCGGGTGCAAGTTCATGCTTTGCAGCATACTTTATTGACTCACACGGTTGCTGTTCACAATGCTCACAGAGCTGCAGCTCTCCCGCTGCCCGCTCAACATTATCGCAACCACAAACACAGCACCCATTACAATGCATGATTGCACGCCCCGCCACAGACACAAAAGCTATTTCCATCTTTGATATACAGTCTATAACAATACATCCATCATCTGGATGGTCAGTAGTCCATGAAAATGAATGTATGTTGTGAATACCTGCATCGTTACACCTGACAATAGATAACATTTTATAAAGATGAAACCATTTGGCATTAAGTTAAAAATTGATGCTTAAAGTGGTGACTGCATTGTGCGCCTTTTAACACAGCAAACCTTTTGGTGTTCCACAAAGATAGAGCAGGCCCAAATTATTGTGTAATATTTCATACATCAGTCCATTTTCTTAATTGTTTTCTTAACCTATCCCAGCTGTCACTGAGAAAAAGGCACTATCCTCCCTGAACAGATCGCCAGTCCATCACAGGGCACTACTTCTAACATCAAAGATGAAACAACAGAGACTCACCGGCAATGAAGAATGTCACAAAATTATCCAGCATAAACTCCTCATCTTCTTCAGTCATGCTGTCCTCTGAAATGATAAAAAACTACCTATAAATGATTTGACATCTACCATGTTAAGATGTGCTCTCATCATGAACAGGTACTAACACAAACCTCCAAGGAGAGTTCATATGGGAGGCACTGAACTTGTGCTGTCCTATCATTTTTCTTCAGTGTGTTTATTTACTCGTTTTTATGCTCTTCACACAGATTCAACAAGATTCTATATTATTGCTCTTATCTAGTCTAGTCTAATGTGAAATTTGGGGACTCCAACCTTGGCTTGCAGCTTTGATGATTTGTGTCAGGATGTCTTTGGGGACCTCGTCACCGTTTTGCATGGCGGTCTTTCTCTCACTGATCCACTGAGCTCCAGTTGTACGGAGCAGGCGGCACGCTTCCCTCACCTCATTAATGTATCCTCTGTTCTTTGGATTGAACTGGAATGGAAAACTGACAGGTTTAGGATGGCATTCTGATAACAATGTTCTTGGCAGAACTACTGCATAACAACAAACGCTGAAGTAATACCTGAAAAAATCTGTCTCTAAGGTAGGAAACCATTCCTTTCAGACAAGTCTCAATGGCTTTAGGGAAAGGTGAACTATGCTTCAAGAGGTCCAAGTCCACCCCGAAGGCAACCTGAAATTGATCAAGAAAAAAGTATACACAAATATGCACACACACACTCACCCTTTGGAAGGGTAAAATGACTGCAATATAATACCTTAGTAATAACATCCAGGGTGACACAGTTGACAAGATGGAGCATATTAGCTTCTTTTTTACTGTCAGCAACATCTGCAAGTTTATCCATCAGTTTCTCTGCCCTCTCATTGAAGGTTCCAGTTAGACCTCTCAGATACCTGGAAGTAATGATAGCTTTAGATGGAGAAGCAGCACATCCAAGACATCCCAACAAACTATCACAGAAATGAATTAACGGATACTGTTGCACAGAAAAAAGAAAAAGCTTCCTACTATCTGCTACTATCTCCCTACTGTTTCTACTAGTTCTCTGGGTGAAATTGCCTTGTTGATGCCAGAGATGGGATGAGAACGTCCAGACTGCTACAAACTGAGTAACTACTCATTACAAATCCTCTTAAACTGGTTTGTTCCACCTCTTTCCATCTCTGTAATATTCTTTGTCAAT